GGCGGGAATTGCTGTAATAAAGAGAATTTAAAAAGCGATTCTCCTCCTCCTTGCATACAATAAGGCACCAAAAATGGAAGTGACCTAGAAAAGGTCTGTCTCTCTCTCCTCCTCCCTTCTGTACATTCTAAATGCTTGATATTAATTGTTAATATTAAGGTTAAGATTAATATATGGGGGTCCTGATGTTCCTGCAGCTGAAGCAGTCAAGGGATGAGAATATATTTTCTTTCTGATTCCTTCTGACAACTAATGAACATTCTGGCAAGAATTACAGTGTTTCCTCCATTTTTCCCCCGTTCAGTTTTCTGTCTCATTACTTTTCCCCGCTCCTGATAAGTTTTTTTCTGGAAATGATCTGTTGGCTAGGAACACGCAGAGCTAAAGCTGAACGCAGACGAGGGAAGCGTCGCGACAGCAGCTTCACCTTCCTCAGCCCCTGAGGAAGGCCGGGTGATCCGCGCACGGAAACATAAAATGCCGTTTCGCTTGCCCTGTGCGGGCACTACAAGACGCAACCAGCCACTCCCAGAAGAACCCACCATCAGGGTTAAGGACCGGCCACGCAGCCCACACTGGTGAACCTGCAGGTACTTGACCCCTCACACACGCTTCTGCTGCTCTGCGGGCACCCGGGACCTCCCCACCGGGTTCCACGTTTCCAGCTCCGGGAGATCATCATCACACATGGTCCGAGCCAGGGAGCGACCGCAGCTCCATCAGTAACAGACCCCAGCATTCCATATACACCACACACTCGAGTGCTTTACAATAAGCCTGACGACGTACGCAAGAGAAAAACAATGTTCTTGAACAAGCAAAGAGGTGCTGCATTCTCCCTGGAGAATGTTCCCCTTTAAACGCAGCATGCTAATTGCTTCCAGGCGCCGGGCCCCGAATCGCGCTGCCTGTGCATTTCAGAGCCCTTCAGAAGCGATGCCTGTTCCTGGACAAGCTATCTGTGCCCGATGCCATTCCCAGGAAGAAGGGGTGGCACTGCTGAGGGGCACTGAACAGCAGGGCAGAAGCTGCAGCTCTCCCGCAGGGCTTTATGCGGGCAGTGTCGAGGAGGGGCTGTGACCCCCCCAGCACTTCAGTGACTTTCCTAAAGACCCAGCGCTTAACACAGTGAGGGAGCACCCGCATACCAGCCTCCTTTGAAACAGCAGCAACTAGCCCTCGTTCGTGCAGGAAAAACTCTCGAAGGCATAATCTAAATACATTTAAATCACAGTTTTGATCACCGTGAAAAACAGAGGGTAAATAAGCGCATCCAACGGACTCTGGCCTGTGTTGTTTTAGAAGCCATCTCACGAATTCAACTCTCTGAGGAGACAAAATCAGCATTTCCAAGTTTGGGAAAGCTGGAGTGTTAGTGCAGCAACGCAACTCTCCCACTCTAGCATGAGGAACAAAGGACACCCTCTTGAGCTGGGCTCAGAGGACAGGAGCTCGTGTTTGCCTACTCATCTAGTTTTAATTTCCTATTCTGTCACTTCCTCAAGCAAGAGCCTCTCCCAAGGGGAAAAAAAAAAAAAACCAAAACAAAACCCTCTTCCACGATCCTGGGGGACGTGGTTTAGCAGAACCAACTCTGGTAGAATAAAGCACATGGGCACTGAATTGTGCTATTACACGGTCTGCGTTAACAATTGCAGAAATGTTTCTGACAGTAAGAAAGTGTTTGGATTAGTGGTGGGGTGGGTTTTTTTCCGGAATGTAAAGGACTTGGAGACCAGCCCTTTATGGGAAACTTGCTTTCCAACCGATGGAAAACACAGCAACGCGCCCAAAGCTCTGGTGGCAACACCTTGGGAGCTTTCTGTCCCGCTTCTTACCCAACTTTCCCAATTTTATTTTCTACTTTTTAAAATATTGTTCACCTGTTTAGGCACCCGTTAGTGAAATTGCCAAAAAGTTACAAACCGTTTTCATTGCCGGCAATAAAATGTTTTTTCCCCACTACTCTCTCAAACACAGAAGACATTTCAAGAAACCAAGTCTCCTGTCACCTACTGAGAACATTTCTCCAGCTGCCTACGTGCCTCACCAGATCTGCAGACCCACAGTGTTTGTCTCAAACACGTCAGGGCTTGAAACTTCCTTCTGACGCCTAATCCCATGCAAAGCTGTTCTCAGGCGATAACACACAAAAGGAGATTCCACTCTTACGTGCCCTGTCATACACGCAGCTGCTCAGAGTATGTTCTGCTCTCTATAGGGATACAAACTGCAATCACTTAAACGGGAACTTTTGGTGTAAAAGCAAAGACAGAGCTGACTCTGCAGCTAATGCATTCTGTCCTTGAAAGCTGACAGTCTTCAGCTACAGAGGATGAATAAAATAAAGGGGTGCTATCAACATTTTGCTGGATACTCTGGGCTGATGAACTACAAATGGCATTTTCCCTTTTGAAGGACTGATAAATGTGCCAAGAAACATCCAACGTGGCCGCCAATGAAGCAACATTAGTGTGCAAGCTAACGGCTTAACAAGCTCTCCTACCTTTCGCCAGGACTTGAGCCAAGGCTTGGAGGGATACAGCAGGCATGCAGAGCAGAACCAGAGGGTCCCTTCCAGCCAGGACCCCGTCTCCGTGCATGGCTTCCAGTTCCTCTCCCGCTCTCTGGGTGCTACATAAATCACAGTGAAGAGGCGCAGGTGAAGAGAGGTCACCAGCAGAGCTCCTCCGCCCCCGCTGTTGGGGCAGGAGCACGCCCAACTCCTGGGAGCGCGATGGGGCAACTTGCAGCGAAACCAAGGGGGGTGTGATACGGAGGGGGGCCCAGGTCCCCACAACCAAGGCCCCTGCGCCCCCGAGGCCTGCGCCTGCCCCGAGCACCAGGCCAGGGAGGAGGCCTCGCCACAGGCCTCGCCTTAGGCCTCACGTTAGGCCTCACCGCAGGGCTCAGGCCCGGAGGCTGCCCCAGGCCCTGCCGCCGGGGCCCGTCTC